AACCACTGAGCCACTGTGTCACCCCATAATAGGCTAGAGAGTGAGAGGTAGAGAGAGAATTTGTTTCCTCATGTGGGCAAGTCCAGAACAAGTGAACATAGCCACTTCACAGGCAATGAACTTCACACAAATAGTCATGGGAATTTGGAACTCTCTCTTCAAAGAGCTGCTGAGGTTAGGTCAGTTGAAAATGTCAAAACAGAGAGTGATCGACTTTTATTAGGCAAGGGTTTAAGTGTAACTAAACCAAGACATTAGATGTGGTTATCTACGATCTAATTGAATGACAGAAAATGTTCAAGGGGCTGAATGGCCTATTCCTGTTCCTACCATCCCATTTCTGAACTGCTCCTCTGACTGAGATCATTAATGCGGCATGGGTGTTAATAAGTCTTCTGCCAAGTAGCTAACTCCTACCAGGTGATCCCAGTTACCTTTCAAAAAGGAAAAAAGGCTGTATGTGGACGTAGACATGCATCTTACAGTTATAAAAAGGATCTGACAAACTAAAGAAGTTTAAGGTAAAGTTATTAGAGAAGACAAGTCAGTAGTTGAAAGGAATGGGTCATGCATTCTGTCCTATAAACTGTCCCAATTTTTCTTAAAAGATGAAGGCATAGATCACACATTGAGAAGTACCTCACACAAATATCTCAAAGGTTTGAACCATTCTGGAAGAGACTTATTGATTGCACTGCTTTCCTGAGCCAATCTGTTTCCTCAGTAATAATTTCTTCACAGTTAGAATAACTTACTCACAGAATACATTGCTAACTCCTGACAGAAATTCTTGGCTTTCCTAAACTCTCGGGAAGGAATTGGATCAAATACTAGTCTGGCAAAGATCAGAAGAGAGTTGGCCATAATATCAGAAATATTTTTCAGATAAAGAACAAACTGGAAATGTTGGACATCTGAAATAGATTAAGTAAAATCTGTAGGGTCTGTACACCAGCTTCAATTACCATATCTCATCAAGTAAAGGCAGACCAAACATCTCTTTACAAATTTAACCTTTTTTCCCCTATTCTTTCTTCAAATCTCAACAGTTTTTGTTAGCTCGATGTATTCTCTGAAGAAACAACCATGGTGTTAGACCAGGGCTAAGTCACACATATATTGAGATGAAACTTCAGAGGTGATGAAGGGGATACTTCCCCTAATAGAATTGTCCCTAAGGACATTCAGTAGACAAGTTAACTTATGGAAAAAGATAGATTGAAGTTTTTGAAAGGATCAGGTGTGCTGGTCTAACTGGACATTTCTTCCTGTGCATGGCTGTTCATATACAGTTGAAAGGTTTGGAGTAATGAGCCTCTGCAAATTGCAAATATAACTCTGATGCATTGCCAACATTATTGAATTTACACACAATCTTCAATTGAGTTGTCCCTGATACATTCATTGCTCCATTTTATCCAGAACTGTTTGGGCACGTTGTGGAAGGTCTCTGAAGTAGGTGGGTTTCAAACCCATGACTCCTAGCTCAGAGGTAGGAACACTACCCCTCTATCACAAAACTCAACATTCTCTAGCAGTGGAGGTGGATTAATTGCCAATTAATAGGACAGTTCAGGACCTCAATAGGCCTGAGGGCAGGCAACCTATTGGACACCGTACCCACCCTCCACATAATAGGGAACAGCTCATAGATGGACAGGAAGGAGGTAGGCTGGCATTTTATTTTTGTGCCCCCCCCCCTCCCACCAGTAAAAACATGCCTAGCAAGAGTGGGGGGGGAGAATGGTGGGCATAATATGCAGCCCTTGTAAACCATGCCCAGATAGTTTCAGCCTTTGTATGTGGGCTCTGGTGGTGTTGTTTCTCCAGCTATGTTTAGTGACATTGTTCAACTCATTTCCAATTCAAATAAAGTGCTCTTTGTGATAACTAAGAGAATGTGAACCCTATCTCCAACTCCCACCAACTGCCCCTCCACATCATAGTTCAGTGGGTAGATGCATCAAAATGTTTTATAATGTGGCATTTTCGTCTGTTGTGCATTCACTATTCTCAAGCACAGCATAACTTTAAGCTTCAGAGATATAGTAAGAACTGCTGATGCTGGAGTCAGAGATAACACAGTGTGGAGCTGGAGAAACACAGCAGGTCAGGCAGCATCAGGAGCACAGGAAAGCTGACGTTCGGGTCGGGACCCTTCTTTAAGCTTTGCCAGTCTTGCACGAGGGATAAAACTTGTTTTTTGACCTTTCACCCTCTACAAAGGCATTGATTCTTGGTGATGTGCAGTCCATGAACATGACGATCATCAAATGTCACATTCAGTACATATTTATTCCCGTGTCAGTTTAGTTCATGATTGTTAGCAAGATTTTGGACCGTATTATCTGTAGTTCATCGTGCCCTTTAAATGTAAAGATGCCATAGTCTTAACAGACCGTAGAGCTGCTCTCCCATTAAATAGAGACAACTGGCATTGGTTTAACCTAACCTGAGGGTCATCACACCTCAAGTGAGGGGTGAGGTTGGGAAGGCAAGTCCTTCATGATAACCTCAGCTTGAATGCATGTTGTATCAGATGAACCGAAGAACGTAAGAAACAGGAGCAGGAGTAGGCCATGTGGCCCCTCGAGCCTGCTCCACCATTCAGTAAGATCATGACTGATCTTTCTTGTTAACTCAGCTCCACTTACCTGCCATAACTCTTAATTCCTTTACTGTTCAAAAATCTATCTATCTTGGCCTTAAAATCATTCAACAAGGTCACATCACTCTACATTTTAAACCAGCTATATAGCCAACTGAGCTAAACCATACCCTTTACCAAAGTGCACACACCTATTATGAGATGTCGTGTGGCACATGGTAGTGTTCAATCAGAATTGTGAGTTCACATTCTATTCTATCCCAGCAAACCCCACCCTCCCAACATTAGCCCCCTCCCCAAGAGATGATAGCCAGGATGGTGCTTTCATAATGTTGCCTCTACCATCATTATCCATGGCACCAGGATACAAGATAATATAAAAGTATATCTTGCGATAGAAAGTCAGGTTCCTCGAGCGATCTTACTCACCAGCACACATTCACTCTTTTCAGCAGGGATTAATGGGTTACCTTCCAGGATAATTGGCATTAAACCCATCTTCATGACATCCTTTATAATGCCCCAGCGGGAAGCAGCGAAATTGTTTGTTCTTTATTCTCCTCTGTGATGCAGCATTTGTTGCCCATCCCTAGGCTATTGCATATGTTAGTTAAAAGTCAGCCAGGTTGCCGTTGGCCTGGAGTCACATGTGGACTGATCAGGTAATGATAAGTGATTTCCTTCCCGAAAGAATGTTAGTGGACCGGATGGGTTTTTCAATAATAGTTTGACAGTCACCATTTCTGAGACAAGGTTTTAGTTCCAAATTGCTTAATTGAATTTAAATTCAACCAGATGCCTTGGCCACATTTGAATTTATGTCCCCAAAACATTAGCCTGGGCTCCTGGATTAATAATCCAGTGACATTACCAGTGGTTCAGACTGAACCTTGTGCTCTGTGGGGCCACCTACAAGTGTGAGTTAACCAGCTGCAACCCCAGTCCATTGGAATGCACTAACAAAATGGTTTAAAGAAGTTTAAATTACATCACTGCAAGCATTTTCCAGACGTGTATTTGTGAATATTTTGAAAAAAAACCAAATATCTATTTCCTTTTGCTTTGCGTCCTTTGCCCTGTCACCACCAATTTACATTTGACCAACTTTGAATTAGTAGAAATTAAAATAATTATACATTTGGGATCTCTTCCCATTACACTATTTTTTAGACTGCAAGATATCAATGTAGCTTCATGGTTACAGTTTGTTTTTGTTGGACTGGTAGCAAAATAAGGAATTATCACCAGCAACAGAAACATAGCTTTCCCAGGGTCAAAACACTAAAGGCTGAAGCTTATGTTCTTTTGGCTGTGTCTGTTTAGAGACATAAAAGTCCCTAGAACAAAAAAGGCCTTTCAGCCCATTGAGATTATGCTGTTCAAGACAACCACCTAACTATTCTAATTCCATTTTCCAGCACTTGGCATAAAAGACACAACAATGTTGCAGTACTCCGAGTCTGGTAGCTCTAGCTGAGGGGTAGAAGTGCAAAAATAGAGAGGTATGGCAGGGATGCTGTCAGCTTTCAGGTAGGCTCTGAGTGTGTGACTGCTATAACAGCAAGCAAACAGCCTGGTCCAGTCCACAAGCTAGGTGCATGTTCCTGAGCACACAACATCCTGTTGCAGCCCAAGATGCAGCATTTAAGTGCGGAAGAGGTTAGTACATGTCAAATTGGACTAGTAAATTCTAGAACAGAGACATGATTGAAGGTTTCAGCAGTAGAAAATATCTGAGACATGTGTGAAGTCAGATGATGCTAAAGAGATAGAAATAGGCAGTTTGAGTAAAGGTTCAGGTGGTTGGAAGCTTATGTCCAAGTCAAATAGAATATCAAGTTTTCAAACAGTCACTTTCTGTGAGATGGCTGGAGTTTGTAGCTACACACAGAATTTATAGGGGCCACCAAAGACAATGGTTTCAGTCTTCCCAAAATTTAATTGAAGGACATTTCTTCTCATCCATTTCTGGAATTTGGATAAGCCATCTGATAGCTTGGTAATTGTGGACAATCAGTTGGATTGTGCCATGGTGGATGTAGGAATGATCAACATGCGAATGGAAACTCTCTTATCAACGGATGTCAATGAGAGTTACCATGTGTGTGAGAAACACCACTCCCTCCTCCCCTGCACCCATCACCTCCACAAGTAGTAATGGTGCAAGAGCAGGATGAGAATCCATTGCAAGTGATATTCTGGCTGTGATCAGAATTAAGGCAAGAGTGTGCATTGCCACCTATTGGATGATAGTGGGCAGAGACTGGGGGAGAATGGTTCTTTTAAGGTGTTTGTGCAACCAGCTTAGTAGCACATTGCAGTTATTGGACAGAGCATAAGATAGGGAGAGTTGTTTGTGGGTTAACTTGCAGAATACTTATAAAATACTTACGTTCCAGGACCTGAGATGCAGAGGTCAGTGCTAATAATTCAGAGGTTATGGGTTCACACCAGGGTATTTTAATTTAGTTCAATAAATCTGAAAATAAAACAAAATATAAATAGTATCAGTATACCAGAATTGTCAGAGAAACTCAGTTTGTTAAAAGAATGTAATACCAAGTCTGGTATTTACATGGCACCATTTCCTCATCACTGTGGTTAGCTCTCAATTGACCTCTGAAGAGTTCTTACAAGCCATTCCATTTTAAGCAGAAAGGCACAGTGAATGTCAGCCTTTACAGCCCACATCCTATGACTGTACTTTTAAAAAATTGCCCAAGTGGTGAGTTCTTTAGTCATGGAATTTTACAGCTCAGTGACAGCAACCATTTGGTCCATCACATCCATGTTAACCCTTTAAAAGACCTATCCAATTAGCACTGCAGTTTTACTCTCTGAGGGTAACATGTACTCTGTGACTTATCACCATCCAGGTCACTGGGTTGTGGATAGGTACTGGATCTTCTACTATATGCAACAGGATAAACAGCAATATTGCTATGGGTACCTGCCATCACCATGTCAATTAGGTGCCAAATCTAACAAAATCACTGTCAGGAGGACAGCAGCTAAAGGCAAACTGTATATCAGGAAATTTCAGGTGGAACTTAGCACTTCTGACAGCATCTGTGGGGAGAAAGCAGAGTTAATGTTTCTGAAATAACTCCACAGAGGCCATATTCCATCACCAAGTCACCCATTGTGTACATGTGCACAGTACTTCACACTGTTCCAACTTCCTCAGAGCTAACTCTCAGAGTGAACAGAACCTCTGACACTCCTGTTTATATTTGTCAGCCAGGGCTCCCTGTTTGGGCCTGGTTAACAACCCCATTCAGGGAAATCATATTCTATGAGGTCCACCTGGCTGACCTCATTACAATTACTACAGTTTCAAGTCCATAGTCTATCCTGTTCTGATAAAGTCACTGGACTCGAAACATTTGACTCTGCGTTCTCTCCACACGTGCTGCAAGATCTGTGGAGTTTCACCAGCAATTTATTTTTGTTTCAGATCTGCAGCACCTTCAGTTCTTTGTTTTAGTTTAAGGAAATTTAGGTTCCTTGCATGTAGCTTGCATTGATTAAATGTAGACCTTTTAGGAGGGTGAAAATTGGTATTCAAAGTGAAGAAAATAATTCCTACTAGATGCTAATCTCAACCTGAGGTGTTTCCAAGTTAAGTACTTCACAGTCCAAATGAAACGTGTTGTCAATTTCACAACACAGCCATGCAGACGTGATGCTAGTTTCTATATGTATCTAATTTTATTCACAATATTTCAAAATGTCTACAATGTGTTTCTAACTCTGGCTTCCAACTCTTTCTATAGTTTTATTTCCCTGTGGTAAACCCAGGCTTAACTAATTGAGCACTGAGATCATCAATAGTAAACAGACTCACAACTGAACACAGAGCAATGACCTATCAAATACTACAGAGTATGTTCCGTCAGGAGAAGTTTTCATCAGGTTGGAATTTAGAAGTGACATTGTAACCATAACAGGAAGATTCTCTCTGCTCATTACTTGAGATAAAATAGAAGAATAAAACTGCTTGAAAAGAAGTTTAATTAATTCTGTAAAACAAAACCAGAGGAAAACCTCCCAAAATTGTATTAACTAAATCTCAAAATAATACCTTTTATAGCCTTTTTATTATTCATTCATGGGATGTGAGTGTTACTAACTAGGCCACCATTTATTGCCCATCCCTAATTGCCCAGAGGACAGTTAAGAGTCAATCATATTGCTGAGGGTCTGGAGTCACATGTAGGCCAGACTAGGTAAGGATGGCAGTTTCCCTCCCTAAAGAATATTAGTGAACCATACAAGTTTTTCCCAACAATCAACAACGGATTCATGGCCATCTTTAGACTCTTAATTCCAGATATTCATCGAATTCAAATTTCACCGTCTGCTCTGGCAGGTTTCAAACCTGGGTCCCCAAAACATCACCTGGGTCTCTGGATTAATGGTCCAACAATAATACCATTAGGCCATCACCTCCCCTACATCTGTGTGATGTTATTCCATTGTATTGACCAGGCAAGCTAGTGATCACTCTGACCAAGATTGTTAGTTTTGTGCTGGTGGTTGTTGAACAGTGGTTGGGAATGTTATTTTCATTTAATTCTTCAAGTGGATGTCATATCTTGCAGTATAGATTGTGTAGAGTGGTAGATTGTGGTTGGTGTGGAGAGTTGCTGCCAATCCTCCTTTCTATGCAAAGTTTAAGTCCTACCTAATAAGTAGCGATAAGAGGATAAACCAGAATTGAATCTTAATGAGAAGACACAATTGCCTTACACAACAGCATGTTGCTCATGGCATGATACCAAATGTACAAATTACATTGACTAATTAGGCATAATTGCAAAGATTATCAGGAGCCAGAGATAATACAAGCATATCCATTGCAGATGCTAGTCTTCAGCCAATTCACTGCACATGATATCAATTCACCGCAGGAGGCTGTGTACATAGCCTTGACAACATCCCAGTAATAGTGCTTCTTCTCTACTGAAGATTGGGTGGAGCTTAATGCAGCTTCATTTAAATCTTTCAGAATCATTAGCTTACACAACAGTGGGGATCCAATGGAATCAGCTGGAATGCCACCTCCTGATACTTCCTGAGATCAACGTCAATAGAAAGCTGAGCAGTCAGGGTGCAGAATCAGCAATGTAACCAACTCCATCTGTTTGGCCAATGACAGTTTAGGTAAACATGACCAACATACTCAGTATTTTCAGTGTATCTCAACAAATTGTGTCCAACAATAATCTGGAGTAAACTAGTGCATGTTTCCAACACATGCACCAGATGCTCATGTTTGGGAGAAAAATCCACAGCTCTTCTCTCCCAATTCTCACAATCCAACTAAAATATGCATTACGCATTGTCGGAAAGATGGGGGAAAAGGGTATAAGGGCATGGCCAGTGAGTGCAGAGGAGTTATCCCAACTTGAACCAGGATAAACCATATGAGTTTGAAATTTTCATATAAACACATGATTCATGGAAACTTGCTGCTTCATTGAGTGTAGGTTATGGTTAAAACATTGTACTAAACGATATTCAAGTCTTGCAAAGAAATCGACTATACGTGATCGATCATCCTTCACAAAGAATGACGATTTGGATACTGAAGATAACGTGCCAGATAACAGTCAGATGGCTATGACAAATGATATATATCCATCGCAATGACAGACAGTAGAGGGAAACCATACTACCAAGCTCTGATAGTTGTAGAAAAACTAAAACTAGTCATTTGTATGTCCAGCAAGACGTTATTTGAACATATAGAGATAAAATATCCATGAACATCCATTAAGGTATAGATTCTAGACTAGAAAGGCATGTACCTTTCAGACAGTTACATGACATCACGACATGTAAAAGATATAAATTTACCTGCCTCAACTTCAGTCACTCTCTGTGTAATAGAGTCGGTGGAGTGTCTTCAGTGAGTCAGATATGTGGAAGTAATATACAGTAATATCAGTAAGCATAGAATCCAGGCTATTAGTTTAATTCTGTAATACTGTAGTTGTATAACTAGTTTGTGATACTAGTAAACTCAAGACATCTATCTCAACAAGAACTCAAATTTGTGGTAAATGTTATGTGGACTTAATATATAGAAAGCCACAAAGCACATCACCTCTGAGTATAAGGTTCCAGTTTCAAGACCCCTCCAGGACTTAGGGTCATAGAGGTGTACAACATGGAAACAGATTCAACTCATTCATGCCAACCAGATATCCTAAATTAATCTAGTCTTACTTGCTAGCACTTGGCCCATATCCCTCTAAACCCTTCCTATTCATAAACCCATCCAAATGCCTTTTAAATGTTGTAATTGTACCAGCCTCCACCACTTCTTCTGGCAGTTCATTCCATACACACACCACCCGCTGCATGAAAACATTGACCCTTAGGTCCCTTTTAAACCTTTCCCCTCTCACCTTAAACCTACACCCTCTAGTTTTGGACTCCCCCACCCTGAGGAAAAGACCTTGGCTATTCACCCTATTCGTGCCACTCATGATTTTATACACCTCTACGAGATCACCCCTCAGCCTCTGATTTGAGAACTAGAAATTTATGCTGCTGTTGCAATGCAATAATGAGAGCTGCGGTGCTGTCAGAGGTGCTGTCTTTTGGATGTGTAGTGATTGTACCAAGGTCAGCCAGCTGGACCTGGGCAAATATGTCCAAATAGAGAAGAAAGCTTTGGCGGTTATCTTTGGTGTGGGAAAGTTCAACCAATACTTTTACAGATGTAAATTTGTAATAGTAACAGACCACAAACCACTGCTAGGGCTGTTCAAGGAGGACAAGGCCTTGCTGCCCATAGCTTCAGGTCGAATGCGGCAGTGAGGTCTCATTCTAAGTGCATACAATTACAAGTTGGAACATCGTCCAGGAGGCCAAGCAGCAAATGTGAATAACCTTGAGCTGCCTCCTGCTGGCAGATGCACCAGCGGTGGTACTGCACTAGAAGAGTCCGTTCTGGTTTTAACCTTTCTGGATACCCTTCCGGTCACCGCTGACAATATCAGACTGTGGACACAAAAAGATCTGGTCCTGGCAAAACTAAAACAGCTGGTGGTGTTGGGGCTGACAAAAGGCCATCACAACCAGAACAGAAACCATTCTGTACCTGGCGTGACCAGATCACAATCGACGACAGCATTTTATTATTGGAAGCAAGAATGATTGTCCCGGGCAAAGGTCGCTGCCAGGTACCAGCTGAACTCCACCAAGGTCATCCAGGGGTGGCCAAAATGAAGATGTTAGCGAGAAGCTATGTCTGGTGGCCAGGACTGAATGCAGACGTAGCTGCATTGGTGCGACAGTGTCCAGAGTGCCAACAGGGACTGAAATAGCCTCCAGCAGCTCCCCCATATTCATGGGAATAGCCAGGTAATCCCTCAACTTGCTTATAGGCCAGCCCTTTCATGAGCTCAACATTCTTAGTCATTGCGGACATCCACTCAAAATGCTTGAACTTGCATAGGGTTCTTT